TGATCATTTTACCCTTTACTTTATTTTAAAAATTACCAACAACTCTTCACAAAATATTTCGAAATAAGTCCTTAAACTTTTCAATCTTTTAAAAATCATACCTCAAAGTTTCAAAACTTCCAATTTAGTCCCTAACCCTGATTTTGTGATATTATAGATACGACGTTCGAACTAAATGCGAACTTGAAATAAATTGAGTTTATTTTGTTAATTAATTCATTTTTTTATTTTAAGTCAAATAATGCAATGCATGTTTCTCTAAATAGCAATTTATTTGTTTTTATGCAAATACCGATTTTTCAATTTATATTTGATTCACATTTTTTATCATGGAGGGAATATTCTTTTTAGACAAGAAATATAAGAGATAGCCTTCCCGTCGAAAGATGAGCAAATCTCGAATTTCTTTTCGAATTAAAGGATTTTCCCTAATAAATAATCCAAGGAAATTAATTAAACTTTAATAAATAGATCATATTTTAACTTTATATTCGATTTATAATTTCCGCTATTACGACAATGTATAAGCGACTAAGTACCAATTTTGGGCGTTGTGGGGGTGTTAATCCTTCCCCACGCGTAACCGACTCCCGGGCCCGTTAAATTGAATCTTTGATAATGCAGACCGATTTTTGTCTAAAAACGTTTTTTCTTAAAATTGTTTTGAAAGACGTCTTTAAGTATTCGACCTACCTAACCTAAAGATCGATGGCGACTCCTATTCAATTAATTCAAATTAATTCAAAATCATCAATTTTTCAAATATAATCATAAATATTTTTTTAAATGATTCTTAATATTTTAAAAAAATGGTTATGACAGGTATATCGAATTAACTCGTCGTGTTACGATTTTAAGATTTGTCGTTATCAGATGATTTCTCACGGTGGCCTCTGGTTTTCTCTAGTTCTTTTTTGTGGTTTAAGTTGGCCTATATCTATCATTTTTGGCTTCAATTGGTTTTGCAATGAGATTTTACACTGAATCATCACTACTAAAATTTATGGCAACCACACGTGCAAAAAAGTCTTTTTAAAATAAAAATGCTACTTTTTTTAAGAAAAATAATTTTAGTAAATTATTGTGTTTTAGAAATTAGAAGTTTCTTTTATTTAATTATGAGTTTTATAAAAAAAAATTGAAAATTTTATTCATCATTTAATTCTCATATTTTATAAAAGTTATGAGGCTAATCCTTCACCTTTTTTTTTTTTTTTGAATGTAAAGAGAAACAAAACTTAAACTAAACTATCGAGACATTTGTCTGTTCTTCACCCTTTGCCTTTTCCTCATCAATTATCCTTCTCATCTCCTCTGGTGGTTGGTTAAACAAATGAAGCCCAGTTTGCATGTTCCATGTTGTCTTGGCCATGCAGTCAGCAGCCCTATTTTCCTTCCGAGGGATATGTCGAAACTGCAAGTTCCAGTCCCTCTTGAGCAGTTGGGTTATGTGCGGAACCAATGGTGATATCTTTTCCATGTCCACTCCTTGCACGAGCAGCGACCATGCTTCTTTGCTGTCCGTCTCAACGATAACGGCTCCAATATTCTTGTCCCAGGCCCCTACTAGTCCTTCATATATCCCCCAAAGTTCGGCATCCAGCACCGAGCAACATCCCACGAATTTTGTAAGACCCAGGATCCATTCGCCATTCTCATTTCTTACAAACTCCACCGCAGGTTGCTAGGCCTGTGTTTGGTTTCCTCGCTCCATCTGTATTGAGTTTGAACCAGTTGACTGGTGGGGCTTGCCATCCCTATTTTTTCTCCATACCTTTGATCTGATTCTGGGCATTTTCTGCGAGCGTTGCATGTGCATGCTTCACTTCCAAAACAAAACGTCTCCTTTGTTGCAATAAGCTTTCAGACTCAACATGTTCTGGTTCGAATATAAATTTATTCCTACGTGTCCATATGCTCCAGATTACTGCCCCAAACAACAACTCCCAATCATCCTCAGTCAGGTTAAATACCTCTCACCATTTTTTAATTAAGTTTCTATTTTATCAAATAAAAATAATTATATTTGTGTCAGATTAAATTAGATGGGACATATGCTTCTCGAGTCAGGTTGGTTAAAAACTCGACTTATGACCATCTTAATAACAAAGGGTGATATGTATTTTCAGATGATTTGAACTTAAATAACATTATTTGTATGATATGTATAAATTTATTTAAATAAAAATCAGAATAAATACTATTATGAGCAAAAAAAATATGTATATAAGTTTGTTAGACGGCTACTTTTTTAACACATTGATTGGTTTTAATGGTAAAAATGAATATTGTTCCACCAGAAGGTTAAGGTCTTGAGTTCGAAAAATTACGTTCATATGATATATGTGCGTTATCAATTATTAAAAAATTTATAAACATATACTATTTTTAGGAACAAACGTTATATTTTATGTTATGATGTGAACTTATAAAATTTTGTGAAGAGAAATACTTATAAAATTATAGGGAGGAAATAAATTTATAATAAAAAATATAAATAAAATATATGAATTTAAAATTTTTAGTGAAAACTGCCCCCTGATTATTCCATAACTATCTTAGACTACTCAAAAGAAAGAAAGAGAAAAATCTATTTTTTCAATGTTTAGATTTATAATTAATAATAAGAAAGTTGTTTTATTTTTTTCTTTTTAGAATGATTATAAATGATAAATTATTTAAATTTTAAGAAAAATGTTTCCATGAATTACCAAAAAAATAAAAAGGACCCAATTCTGTGAAGTGTCCCTTTCCAGTTTCTACACCCAATGAAAATGGAATGTAGGTGTCTGTTCCTTTAATAAGGACACTGTCCCTAAACAGGCCCATCTCATGTGTGCCTGAAACCTCCTCCAAAGATATGCCCTTACCTGGATTCATGTCTTATATTTAGTGACGGATCTAGAAATTAAAAAATAGGGGTCTAAAATTTTAATATCTTATTCTAAAAAAATTTGGGTATGCAAATTTTCTTTTTTTTCTATTCCTATTAACAAATTAAACTAAATTTAATATTTTTCTCAAAATAATAGGTGTGCAATGACTCCCTTAGAGAGCCATGTAGATCCGCCCCTGCTTATATCCTTTGGTTCTAGTGATTTTTATAATATTTGAATTTAATTTAAGATATATTTGATAAAATGTACAATACTATCATTTATAAATTTTAAAATAGTTTTATGTGAAACGATTATTCCCTAACTCTTTAATACGTGATATACATCTTCGTCAATCGTCATTAACCATCGTCATGATGTCTATTTGACTTATCTTATAGTACTCGACGTGAAATCATATAGTAAAATAATCTCTATGATACTATTTATCGTGAGAACATTATTCTCTTTTAAAAAACATTTTCATTTATTTATTATTCGTATTGTTTTTCAGTTCTAGGTTAATAATATTATCTCCTAGATATTCATATTCCTTAAATATTCAAATTTAAATAATAATAATAATATGATTAATAAATTTATAAAAAGAATATCAATCCCAGAATGTCTCTATCGGTTTTTCTTTTATTTTTTTAAAATAAAATTAAGTTATTATTATTATTATTAAGCTAAAGGTGAAAATAAAATTAAGTTTTTTTACTGTTTTACAGTTTGAGGAATATCGATAGAGCTATTCAATATCACAAAATTTGATGAATATCTGTCACATCAAGTTGTACACCTTTCTTAACCTTTTTGGTGCAAATTATATATGCACCAAAGATTCCGGTAATCAATGTTTTTAACTAACATAAATTGAATAAATAATTTTAATCTAATATTAACATTTTCTAACAAATGATTTTAGTGGTAAAAATAAATGTTATTCTCGTTATAGATTCTGAGTTCGAGCAATTATAGACGTGTTGTCAATAAGTTAATAAAATTCTAAACATATATTATATTATATTATATTATAATCATCACGTACTATTAAAAAATATTTTCTAAAATATATATTCATTCTAATGCAATGAAAATAGAAATATTTTTTTAAAATACAACACAATTATATAACTAGAATATTAAATAAAAAATTTAATATGTTTAAATACTTATATAACTATAATATCTCAAATATATAGATTTATTAATTTTGTATCTTATTTTAAAATAATATTTTTAATTATTATGTTTAAAAGCTATATAAAAATAATTTTATAATATTATTTAATTGATCTTTTAAATAAAGATATTTTAATGATTTTTAAATAAAATAAAATCGAATTAACTGTGATATCAATTTAGTATTATACTTTATTGTTTCAAATATGGCATGAAGCACACTGTATGAAAACACCATCACAATCATTCAGGGTAATGGTAGACCACGGCACCACCCCACGTATTTAGCTAAATTTTTCTCTCTCACACGTGTGTGTGTATATATATATATTATTTCGAATTTAATTCTAAATTCGAGTAAATAATTTATAATATTTAACTATATATTTTTATATTTTAATTTAAACTAAAATTATTTAAAATTTTACATTTTCTGAAAATAATATTTTTAAAGTCAGATTCTACACATACAACATATTTATTATTAAAACAATGTAATTATTGATCGATCAGCGTTATTATCAATTATGTCATTGAAAGTATTAATTTTATAGATCTTTCACTGATAGTTTTTAAATTTTTTATAATAGTATGAAAGAATTGTGATATTCTCGACTTGTAAAGAGATACTTTAATAGAGAATATATATATATATTTTAATTTTACATGCCATTTTTTATTATTAGAGAATATATGTATATATATTTATTTAGATCTTTTAATTTTAATTTTTTATTATAGTTATACTTTATTCTCTTAAACTGATATTTTAGTTTCGTCTCTGGCTAAATATTTAATCGACATATGATAATAATATTTTAAACATTATTTATTTAATTTATATAATTTTAATTATATAATGATATTTTATATTCAAAAACTAATTTGTAATGATTATTGTTATATCAGCAAGTCTAAATTTACCAGACAATATATATGGATTTTTCTTTATGATATTTAGTGTATTTCTGTCTTTTGACTTGGAACACACACGCAAAACCAAAAACAGAACCTTCAATAATAGCACTCTTTTGAGCTGAGTTTGAAAACTTTCTCCGCCATCTCCTCCACGGCATGGGCGTATCCCGCCACCATCACCACCACCACCACCACGTCGTAGCTGCCTTCACCTTCCTCTTATTCGCTTCCGCTTCAGTCGGCACTCTTTCTCAACTCGGTAACTATTTTAAAACCCCAATCCTTTTTTTCAACTCGAATACTCATGTACTACGATATAGCCACTGACTCGGTCCAAACTCAGTACAGTTTCGTGCTTGTTTGTGCAGACGGCGGGTTCCGGGAGAGAGAAGGGAGCAAGAGGAGAACTGGGTCGGGGGTGTTGGACCGATTCTTGTATCAGAAACAACTCAGCGGACCGGGCTCTCAGCCGCCTTCGTGTAGATCCAACTGCGGGAGTTGCTCGCCTTGTAAGGCGGTTCACGTCCCGATTCAACCGGGTTTGGTGATGCCATTGGAGTACTACCCTGAAGCTTGGCGTTGCAAGTGTGGGAACAAGATTTTCATGCCCTAAAAACTAAAGGCAAAGTAATAATACACTGAAATCTAAGGGGGGTTTTTTTCTCATAATAAACAAAGCTGGTTTGCTTAACTTACATCGTTGGTTGTTTTCTATGTTTACATAATGAATTTTGCTTTGGGAATGTAAGTTGATTATAATGTGAGATTACCAAGAGGGATGTTCCCTTTGTTTCCCCCCCCCCCTCCAATGTCATTGAAGCAAGTTTGAATGAATTGAGATAGCCAAGTAAGTTTTATTCCTATAAGACTTAGATTCGAGCAACTGTTTTTATAAGGTGAGTGTTATCGATGGCTTAGAAATATTCTGAAGATATAATACATTGTGATCGGTACTTCAGATTATTCAAAAAAAATATTATCCTTATGATAATGTAGAAAATTGTAGGTTCAAATACGTAATACGTAATCTAAACAATATCTGATTTTGCATAACAAATATTAACGATCCAGTGATAAAATTAGAACAAGTTGATGATGTAAGTGATCAAAACGTAATTTTATTAATTTTAGTGATAGTAAGTGAATAAAATCAAAACAAAAGGGATCAAGTTGACAATTTTCCCTATAATATATCTAAGTAGTTTATGTATTCATGTTCGTATAATATTACTATGATTTTTCGTATTTTTATCGTGCTTAAAATATTTTATACATGTATAATTTTGGTACATTAATAATTTATACGTTTTTGAGATATAATTTTGTTTTAAATTTGGTTATTAGTTTTTGTATCATGTATAATTTATCAGTTTAGTTTCTGCACTTTAATTTTATCATTTTAATCCATTTACTTTTTAGATTTTAGTTTTAATCCATATAGTGGGGTCAAAGCTACTGGGTCAAATTATATTATTTTTTATGCAAATAGATCTACTAATTTTATTAAAAGAGGGAAATATTTAAAATTATTAAATCATTTACTATTTTTAAGTTATAACTTTAATTTTCATAAAAAAAATTATAACTTTAATTCATGTTTTTTTTAATTATTTTTATTCTAAAATTTAACAGTTAGTTATTGTTTAAGACAATATTAAAATTTTAATATATACAATATAAAATTAAAATGATCAAATTAAAAATACATATATTAAACTTTTAATTTACACACAATACATTAATAAATAACAAAAATGATCAGCTTAACTATTACTTTATTACTAAGTTAATATCGAATCTCTATATAATCCGAAATTGATATGTACGGATTTACATAGACAAAATGTATGGTATTTTATCATAGGTATAAACTTTTAGGATGTTTGAAATTTTAAATTTTTTTAGAAGTACAGGCTCTTAGAATTTTATGAGTACGAAGTTAGATCATCAATAAAAGATATATATATATATATATATATATATATATATATATATATATATATATTTATAATTTTCAAAAACTACGATTACTCTTATCACTTCCTAATCCGTCCCTATTAATTGATGTCGGAATAAGTATACTTTTTTTTTGTTGAAGAAAAGACAAGAATGGAATGAAAGAACATGTGAATGGTGAATGGTGAATGAGAATGGGAGAGGGTTGCATTATTATTGGATTTGGAGTTGGAAACTACATAGATAAGAGTATCAATGGGAATAAGGATGGGGACATCTTGTTCCTTTGTTTGTTTCCTTCTCTACAACATTATTTTCCCTATTCATCTCCTCTTCTACTTTTCTCACTTTCTTTCCCTTGTAGCGGTAAAAAAGTTTTAAAAAAAATTGTCTTTCGTTGTCCTCCCGATTTCAAGGTTTCACCTTGATTAATTCGAATCGACACGTTTTATACATCTAATTTTGATGGGTGAATATCCTGATAGAGATTTTTTGCATACACAAGACTCAAACTCGAGCTTTGCTTAACCGATACCAAGCAGATTACCACTTGAATCAACTCCTATTGGTAAAAAAATATTAATAGATATATAAAAATATGTTTTAGTTAAAAATCTCTATCATAAACATATTAAATAATAATGACATATGAATAAAAATGGATTGCTATTAAAAGTATAAATGATCAAATATCAGATCAGGTGATGTTGAATTTTTAATCTATTCAAACTCGATTCGAGTATAATGCATATTCACTCGTCACACAACATGACTCGAATTTAGGGAAATTCTATCCGATCCAAAATCAAACTACTTTTAAGATAAAATCTCGCCCTCGATTCATCCGATACGAATATACATTTCTCATTTTTATTAAGTAAAATAAGGATTTAATTGAAAAATTATAGATTAAGGACTCTTATAGTAATTATCTTTAAATATATAAAGGTATATTATATTATTATTATAGGGTCAAATCGAAACCCATTACAAATCCAATTCATTTGTATTTTGTACAATCTTGTTTTATTAACTCCTTAGATTCCGATTACCTTTGATATGGGCCATTAAGGTAGTTTTATGCTTTTACTATCATTCACATGATAAATAAAACAATGACTTCATCTAGTTAGGGCTAGTAGTGATTCGACTTAAAAAAATCAATTTTTTAATTAGATATTAAAAATTTTAACTCAATTTAATTCGTCTTATAATTTTATAAACTCGAATCGATTTAAAAATATATAAATTTAAATTGAATTATAAAATATAAGGATATTTGATCGAGCATCTTGGGTCTCTGCCATATCTCCAGATCGATTTATGATTGGTATGATGAACTGACTTGGACTTCTACGTGTTTAAAGGGTAAGTCTTGTGATTAAACTTTCTTGGAGTGCTTTTAATTTAACAGAGATTATTTTAATTTAAAATTAAAACGTAAAAATAAAATGATTATTTAAATAATATTGAGAGATTAAAATAAAAAATTATTTATAAGAAACAAAATTGGGAAGAATTAATAAATTCATATACGTATTGAAATCCTAAAGGAAAGTATGTAAAGTCAGTTTGGCCATATTTCCATCGACAATCTATCAGTATTCACATCACATTCAGTTGTGGTGTGATGTTTGATTTGACAGCAATTGTTAGGATGTTGCTGGACTGCCCTCTACTTATTGTACTTTTTTTTATTAATATTTCTTTTATATATTTTACGAAATATTCTTTAATGTAAAATGTCAAAAGTTTTTTAAGAAAATCAATATATTATTCAGAAATAACAATATATTTTACGTGATTGATTAATATATGATTTTTAAAAAAAATAATTGAGTGATTAAAATAAAAATAGTAAAATAGGCGGAGTACCAAACGAATATTTTACCTTTAATAAGAGAGGTTACGTTCAATAAATAAATATACATAAAAGAGAGATGTAAAGGAAAATCATTAAATCGTTGATTTAATAATGCCTATGACTTGACAGACTACTTTCACTAATAGAAACTCTTGACATGAAAGAAAAAGACATTTAACATGTAACATATAAAAATAATATATTAAATTATTTGAAAAACATTTTTCTTTTAGAATTTGGGCTAAAGCCATGAGTTTATGAGCTTGTAAGCTTACAATAGGGAGGACCTAACACATCTCCAGAGATGGTAGCAAGCAGATTAGCTAGGGGTGAGTCAAGAATTATCGTGGAAGAGTTTGAGGAAACTGGGAGTTTAGCGATCTGGTCTTAGCTTCAAAATTCTCTTAAAAACTCCGGCAAGCATTGATGAGATTTTTCTTCTGCCAGAAATCTACGTTCTTCACAATATATGCCCTAATCCACGCCACTCAGAGGAGCCCTCACCAGTCAAAATATTCTTAATCAACATTGATGTGATTAATGAAAAACATTATTAAAATTAATGATTTAAATTTTATTTGATTTAATTTTAAAAAAATTGATATTCATTTTTTCGACACCTATTTTCGTTGGACCGTTATTATTATTATTATTATTTTACTTTCATTGTATTTTTAGTTATATTATATTTTATTTACAGGCCAAATTACAACAAGTCCAAATCATGCCCCATTACAACCGGCCCAACACAACAAACCCACATCCAAAGCCAAATAGACCTAGACCCGGTCACAACCAGTTGACCCGAAGCCCAAGATCCGACCTGGTTACAGTTGCACCAGCCCTATGCCATGGTCTGTAACACCCTATGTGAAGCAACCCCTTCCCGAGCAACCGTGCCCATGCCCTGTTACACCAACTCAACTGCACCATCATTCCCTGTCATCCCCAACACTCAACGCAACAAAAAAAATTAGCAAGCAAATCAATTTATTTTTCTGACAGTTGTAATGGGTATATAACCCGAAAATTAAAACAATGTTAGGGAAGGTTTTTAGTTTTGTAAAGAAAAAGGGAGAGGACTCCCGATTCGAATCAAACAATGTAAAAGTCACCTTTTCTTGGTTTTTAAAAAAAAGTAATAAAATAAAAAAAGGGGTTCAAGCAAGATTTCTATTTTTCTATATTTCGAAACACAAACAGCTTCATTTCTTTCCTACGAAACCAAATAAAACCAAGATTAAAAAAGATGGAGGAAGGGAGAAAAGGATACCTCTCGGTTCTACCTCTCCCCGGCGATTGGGGTCTCCGTTGTCTAATCCGAACGGTAAAAAGGGAGAAGAGGAGTCGGCGAGCAACATATCTCGAAGCGTAGAAGATCCAACGGTGGACGACAGAGATCGGGAAGGTGGAAGCAGAGAGGTTCTCGACTTATTTCACGACGTTGGAGGTCGTTTCATGCGAAATCGAGCCCAGATTTGAGACGAGGAGCCGTAGACAAGTCTACCGATAAATTTTGGTTGCCAACAACTACCGACGGTGACGATGACATGGCGATCGACAGCGGCCTGGACAGCGACGCGATGGTCGGATTTCTAGAGAGAAGCGATCTAAAAAAATTAAACAAAAAAATGAAGAAAAAAGCTTGCATATATAGAAAAAGTTTCAGGGGAAATCATGCTTAGGTCCCCCGACTTTAGGCGTGTTTTTGCAAAATGGTCAACTGTAAGATCAATTTTATAATTTACCCATTTCTTATGCATGTTATATATTTTGGTTTAATTGCTATTTAGTCTCCCAACTTTAGGCGTGTTTTTGCAAAATGGTCACCTGTAGGACTTTTTTTTGTAATTTACCCATTTCTTATGCATGTTATATTCTTTTGGTTTAATTTATGATTAGTCCCCGTATGTTTAGCGTGTTTTTACAGTTTAGTCATGTGTAGTGAATGTTTTATTTTTTTTAAATACTAATGGACTGATTTAGTAATTTCCCCTATTTTATTTCGAATGTATATTTTAGGCTAGGAAAAATAAAATATTTAGGAAATAGTCCTGTAGTTTATGCTTGTTTGTATTTCGAATATGAATATATTTTTTTATTTTAGTTTGTCCATGGAATTTTAATTTATTGTAATTTAGTCCTCATGTTTTATTTATTTTTATTCTTTGTAATTTTAGCACTTAATATCGAAAATACTCATTTTAGTCACTTGTATACTTTATTTTATTTTAATTTTGGCATGATGATTTGATTGTTTATGTTTTAGTCATAATTTTTATTTTATTTTATTTTAATTTTTACATGTTGTTTGCATTTTAGTTCATTTTAGTCCTAATTAATTTTGTATGATACCCTCATAAGAATCACTTGACTCAAATCGAAATAAATTAACTAAGGGTAATATTCGTTCATTTTAATATTATCGTAAAGTGGCCGTCTTAACCTATAAGAAAGTTACTTTCGATAATTTTAAAACGTAAGTATATCCTATTTAGTGACACGAACTAAATCAAATTCATTTTAAAATTGGGGGATTGGGAAAAATATCATGTTCTTTTAATTAAATTCATCAAGAAAAAGATTGTTAGATCGAATTTAAGGTCTCGTCTCGAGATATTTAAATAATTGAACACCCTTATTCTCATTAAATATTAGTAAAATAAATAATTTATTTTACTTGCTTGATATGCTTTTAATTCACTTTATTCTTGCATGTGTTTTCCCGATAGGTTTTCAAAATAATAACATTCGAATCGATAGTGAGAATAGTAATATATTTTCATTTCAGTTGGAGTAATAAATGACTGCTCTAAGGCATGAGATGTCATTTATTCTCGATTAGAAATAATACGATATTATCATTCTCCCTCGAATTAATATTGATTTTTAGGATGGAATAGTTATATCTTTTCATTTTGATCGGAGCAATAAATGACTGCTTCAAGGTATGAGAGGTCATTTATTCTCAATTGGAAATCATTAAATATTATTGTTTTCACTATAATCGATATTGCATTTTAAGACGAAATACTAATATCTCTTCATTTCGATTAGAGTAATAAATAATCGTTTTAAGGTATGAAAGGTTATTTATTCTCGATTGGAAATAATTAGATATTATTATTTTCTCTATTAAAATTATTTTGGGTTTTGTTATTTTTGTCGCGACCGACTTTCGGTTGGGCCCAGGAATTGGGCTTCGACTTGAAAAATGTGGATTGGAGTCGCCACCGATCATTTTAAAACGATATTTAGGTAGATCGGACACCATCTTACTTGATCTGCGTTTTACCAGGAATGTGTCGGGTTCGGGAGTCGGTTACAGTCAAGGAAGGGTTAGCACCCTTGAACTGCCCTTTCGGTACCAATTAATTCGTCGGTTATCTTAATTGCGAAAATTAAAATTAAAATTTAAAAAATAAATTCAAATCATTTACCTTTGATCGATATAAAAAAATCCTTTAAAAAGAAAAAAATGTTAGATAAGAGATGTTAAATAAATATTAAATAAACAAAAGAGATGAACTAAAAAATAAATAAAATAAAAATTTAAAGTATAATATAAATGAAAATAAAAGAGGACCCATAATAAATGAAGGACCAAATGTTGAATTTACCCAAAGTCTATGTCACGAAATGATATTGAATTCTTTCATTGAAGTGCTCTTCACATTGCCTGGAACTTGATAATCCGCATGTAATTAAGTATCATCTTTGTTGACTTCATTTCTCCTTGTTCTCGACATCCACTGCCCATTCGCGTCTGATTCGAGAATGAGGTTGCGTAATCCAAGGCCTATAGCGATGCAGCCAGAAGCAATGAGTATGGCCTTCACTCTTGAGACGTCGAGCATGTGGGAAGCAATGAACCCACCGGCACCAGTGATGGAAAAGCAGATTTCTCCAAGGACCATAAGGCTCCCTCTCCAAGGCATCATAGGTGTAGCACCATATTTGGTCCCATTAACACTTTCCATCCTGAAAAATAGTAAGAAGTGAGAACTTTCCCCATGAGAACAATCGAGCCACCTCAGAGACCTTGCGAATGTGAACTTTTCCCCATGAGAACAATCGAGCCACCTCAGAGACCCTTGCGAATGTTCTGGAGTCGGTTAGAACCCACGTTGTCGGCGGCGACGATTAGAATCTGAGTGTACTCGTCTAAGAGTTGACATAGCTTCGCATCGTAGTAGGTTTCACTGTCGTTTCTACTGGTTATTGACAAAGAGGCAACGTGTAAAAGAATAAAAAATGAGGGCCAAGACGAAGTCGGATGGTCAGTCAAGGCGGACAGGCAATCAACGCCGTCTCCTTAACCTCTGACTGGATTTGAGAATTGTTGTTGAAGAAAAAACTGGAGGCTGGTCTCAGTGCCAATCTCTCTGCTTCGGGAGAGAGATTTATTTCATCTTTTTACGTGTCCACAACCCCCCACTGCTAAACTCTTTGTTTCTCCCCTTTTGTGTTTTTCCTTTTGTGATTTGTTATCCCCCCTCCCTGTCAATCTCAAGTTTATTTAAATAAATAGCAAGGCCCCCTATCTGATGAAGCTTTCCACTTTCCTTTTGAGAGAAAAAAAAAGGAAGAAAACGTGCGAAGTGGTTGATGAAAGTGAGAGTAGTGGAGGTTGTTGGGTGTTTGAGTGGGTGAGGTAATGGTAGGTAGTGGGGCCTGCAAAACAATAAAATTAAAAATATTAATAATAATAATAATTAACAATAACAATAAATAATGTATATATATATAAGTCCGGTAAAAAACGGGTGTCTACAGCTGCCCCTCTTTGCACATTTTTATGTTTATAAGAATAGGGCAAGGAAGAAAAAAACAACAAGTTTTTTTCCGGTTCTCTTTGATTTGAGACTTGATAGTGTTTGTTGTAACACAGATGACTCCTTCGTCGTGAAGTTGAGCCTGAGAAATGGATATCCTTCATCGTGAAGTTGAAATCCAATGTAAGTTGCGCTGTTCTGAGGTCAATATCTTTCGACGTGAAGTTGAAGTTGACTCTGAAACTGGAAAATTTGTTTATTGACAACCAGCGGTCCCTTCGTCGTGAAGTTGAACTTGTGTTGTCTGGAGTCCAATATCCTTCGTTGTGAAGTTGAAATTGGCTCTGAAATTGAGAAGTTGTTTGTTGACAGTCAGCCGCCCTTTCGCCGTGAAGTTGAGCTTGTACTGTCTTGAGTCCAATATCCTTCGCTGTGAAGTTGAAATTGGCTCTGAAATTGGGAAGTTGACAGTCAGTCGCCCCTTCTTCGTGAAGTTGAGCTTGAGCTGTCTTTAGTCCAATATCCTTCGCTGTGAAGTTGAACTTGGGAAATTGTTTATTGACAACCAGCGGTCCCTTCGTCGTGAAGTTGAACTTGCGTTGTCTAGAGTCCAATATCCTTCGTTGTGAAGTTGAAATTGGGAAATTGTTTATTGACAACCAGCGGTCCCTTCGTCATGAAGTTGAACTTGCATTGTCTGGAGTCCAATATCCTTCGTTGTGAAGTTGAATTGGGAAATTGTTTATTGACAACCAGCGGTCCCTTCGTCATGAAGTTGAACTTGCGTTGTCTAGAGTCCAATATCCTTCGTTGTGAAGTTGAAATTGGAAAATTGTTTATTGACAACCAGCGGTCCCTTCGTCGTGAAGTTGAACTTGCGTTGTCTGGAGTCCAATATCCTTCGTTGTGAAGTTGAAATTGGGAAATTGTTTATTGATAACCAGCGGTCCCTTCGTCGTGAAGTTGAACTTGTGTTGTCTGGAGTCCAATATCCTTCATTATGAAGTTGAAATTGGCAAATTGTTTATTGACAACCAGCGGTCCCTTCGTCGTGAAGTTGAACTTGCGTTGTCTGGAGTCCAATATCCTTCGTTGTGAAGTTGAAATTAGGAAATTGTTTATTGACAACCAGCGGTCCCTTCGTCGTGAAGTTGAACTTGTGTTGTTTGGAGTCCAATATCCTTCATTGTGAAGTTGAAATTGGCAAATTGTTTATTGACAACCAGCGGTCCCTTCGTCGTGAAGTTGAACTTGCGTTGTCTGGAGTCCAATATCCTTCGTTGTGAAGTTGAAATTGGGAAATTGTTTATTGACAACCAGCGGTCCCTTCGTCGTGAAGTTGAACTTGTGTTGTCTGGAGTCCAATATCCTTCGTTGTGAAGTTGAAATTGGCCCTGAAATTGGGAAGCCCCTTTCGTCGTGAAGTTGAGCCTCAAATGGCACGATATCCTCCGTCGTAGAGTTAAAATCGTGGGTGTGTGGGCAGACACGATTCCCTTCATCATGAAGTGGAAACCATAGATGACCCATTCGTTGTAAAGTTTGGCCTTGAGCTAGATATCCTTCGTCGTGAAGTTGAGCCTCAAATTGGCCCTGAAGTTGTTTATTGAAAGACAACTTTTCTTGACTTAAGTTGTGCTGTAAATTTCCTTTAAATGAATGATGACCCCTTTCGCCAAATTTTGTGAGCCGGATATCTTCCGTCGTGGAATTGAAATCTGGCTTGAAAGTGTTAACTGGAAACATGCTGCTCATGGTTGAGTTTGAGTCGAACTGGATTTGTTTTGAACTGGTTTTCGAACCTATCTGAAATTGGTTCTGAGATGTCAAGTCGGTTGAGGGTAGCTTCTTACTGCCGAGTTAAGCAACCACCCTTCCTTCTTTGAAGGCGCTTGAGAATCGAGTATCCTTCATCCTGAAGTCAAAACTTGACTCTAAAAGCTGCAAAAACGTGTATGCTAACATGATGAATGTGATGCACCTAAGTATGTCTAAGATACATGCAATATGAATGAATTATGTGTTATCTCCTGGATGGAGTCTCGTGCTTTGTCTGTCAATGAGGTCCTTAGAATCGATCGTGCCCCACTATTTTCTCGAGCTTTGGCTTTACAGATCTTTCAAATCTGAGACTACTCTGTTTGAAAATGTTTTTCTCATTTTTCTTGTTTTAGGAGAAAAAATGTTGAAAAATATTGTTGACAATTGACTCAAATTGTAAACGTGAGTTCAAAGAATATCAAAGGAATCAAGAGCTCTTTTAATGCTTTTAGAGTCACAGCTCTTTGACAAATGTTCAAATGGATGAGTTGGCCTTAGGTTGGCCTCCTTTCTAAGGTTTTGGTAACCCAAAATGTCATGTTTTTAAATATCGCAACATGTTTTGGTATTTCAATTGGGTGCGGACAAAATGAAGCAACTAGCATGATCACTTACTAGACCTTTTATTTCGGTCCTCTGAAATCTTCCATTTGTTCAAGCTTTGTAGGCTCCTCTAACGAAGGCAGTGCAAAAAATATCGGACTAAAAATGAATTTCTTGAGTGCTCGTGTGAAATTGACTATAACAGGTGTTCCTTAACTCCCTTAGTCCATTTTACCGAAACTTCATGCTTAGATAAATTCGATTTAATTTGCCGTTATCTGGCTAGCTGAATCCATAAAGCTGGGGCGTTTAACCAATTGCTTTAGATGGACAACTTATCATTATAATCATTTTTATCAAGTTAACTGAAGGGTTCATCTCATCACAAAGTCTTCGGCCTAACAAAAGCAGTGGAGCAAACACCGAATTGCCAAGTGTCCGAGTAATGTCATGGTTTGAATGACATCTATTCATAAAGCCAGGGCTTTCAAGTTTCCTCTATAACCAATTGCCTTAGTGGAATAGCTCAGTTTTACGGATTAAATTTCTTAAGATTGGAAAGAAGAAACTGTTATAGTCTAGGTGTTTTGAAAGTTAAGGAATCTCATCTTTAGAGTTCAATTTTTAAGCAACTGACTTACACTAGATTCACTTACTCGACTATTCCATATGTGAAGATCATTATCATCATTGAACGTCTTAAATAAAAAGCATAGTAATTCCATATGCAAATGGATGCCCCATGTTGCCCGCATTTTATGAAAGGAAAAGGTCACAAGAGCAATGTATGATGTTTGAGTGTATATTCTGGGTAAGGTTAAAGTACTTGTTTCAGATCATGCTACTTGTCAAAGATCTGTAACTTTGAACCATTTACAGATTTTCTTAATTCAGATGATGTTAAAAGAATTGCAAGTTTGCAAATGTGATTCATTGCTCGCCATCATTAAAGCAACATAAATTTATTTTAAAGTCCTTGCAAAAACTTGAGAAATATGAAAAAAATAGATTCAACAGAATGCCTCAAATGATGAAATGATCTTCCTCACTTGGATGCCCCTCAAGTTGTTGAAGTCGATCAGATTCTTGTTACGTATTTTCTGTATGATTCTCTTGATTGTGGAGTAATTCTCGATAGTGCGTGCAATGAGCGTTCTCATCATACTACCTGGGGTACGGGGCTTCATGGACTTCTCTGGATATGGTGACACCACATGTGCGTCGAACAACTGTTGGTAAAGCTCCTTATATGTCATAGGGTCGAAGTGTTCTCATTTTTTGATGAATCATGTGAAGATAATTAATGTGAATGTAAAGAAATGAACAAAATGCAAAATGTTTAAATGCATGAAGCATGAAATGTCCGAGGCATTGATCCGAAAAATGTGCCTATTATTCTGAATAATCCTTATTGGGGACAAAAATGTTACGTCTGAAGAGACAAAAAACTTTTTGATGGTATAGATCCCGCACAGCCTCTGGCAAGTTGATTTGTCTTCCGCTTCTTCACCGGTTGAATATCCTGTCGAACCGTTCCAGCTTCTTTGGCTAAACTTGTGTGGGTGACGAGTTGCTTGCCCCAAAAAAGGTCTCGAATGACTGCATCTCCGGCCTTCACTCTATGCCGAGCTTGTTCCAAACGAAAGTGTCTTTGGAGCCTTCCATCCGAAGTTTGTCGACTTGTTTTTGGAATTCATCAATAATGGTCTCCAGCTTAGCTAGGGTTTCACCATCTTGTTCTCGTAATTTTCGAAAGGATTCTCCGGGTCAATAACCATTTCCTCGTCTTGCCCCTGCAACATTTGCCTCTAAGTATTCTTTAATCCCGGTTGGACTTCTGAGCTTTTTATCTCGTTGTATTATTACCCCTTTGTCCATTAATATAGACTATTTACGTTTAACAAACACATTTTTGGTGGATCAACACCTCACTTTAATGATGCGAATGATCAAAAAAATGCAAAAGAACAAAAAATGAAAGGAGAGAAAAAAAAAGTTAGTGAGATAAGGATAATAAAAAAATGAAAATGAAAATGAAAAGTCCTACCCCACATGATATCTACCCCACATGCTTATTATTCCTACCCGGACATGATCTCTATCCCGCATGTTAATTTTGAACTAGTCCTAACCGCATACATTTCTAGTTCACATTCTTTGTAATAGAAAATAAAGTAGGAAATAATCTCAAAGTAGCCTAGGGTTTGAAATGAGGTTTTGGG